AGCCAGCATGGCTAGCTGGAGAATTCTGGGAGTTGAAGTCCACCCGTCTTAAAGTTGCTGAGGTTGAGGAACCCTGCCTTAGAGGACTGCACAGAACATTAACCTTTGAAGGGCCACCATAACCTGAGGGAGATTATACCTTGACTGGAAGGGTAGCAATAGAAATTTGGAAGCTCTTGGAGCTTCAGGTCCTGATGGGGAACTGCTTCCCGTGACGTGGCAATGAACTCCTTTCCCCGCACGTGCATATTATCAGGCAGTGCTCCCTTAGAAAGCGTGTGCTTTATCTAAACCATTAAATTAGCAGTTGAAAGTACCATGGAGTGAGTGCACGCAAGGGCTGGCAAAGGCTAATCAGGACCTCGTGGAGAATGGCAGAGACTCGAGGCACATGTGGGAGCTTGCCTTACAATTTTCTCTCCTGCTTGCCACAGATTTGGAATTTCCCAAGGATTATCCCTCTGGCTGTCTCCTTGGCTGCGTGGACTTGATTGACTGCCTCTCACAAGAGCAATTTAAGGAACAGGTGAGTGAGCAAAAAAGGTTACTGGTTTCTGGGTTTTTTTGTTTTGTTTCTGGGAGTGGGGGTTGCAGTAATTGAAGCGGGAACACGCTTTTGTCACTCGTTTTAAAAATAAATGGCCTTTTTCCTCCCCAGTCTTCCAGGAGTTATAAAATCAATGCAATTGGAGACAACCCCATTCCCAAAGAACCTGAATGTGGAAAATGAAAAGATTGCTCTGTTAGTTCCTGCTGCGCCACTTCTCTGGGGAGCAGAGAGTTACATCTTCTCTCCCTTCCCCACAGTCTTGCTTTGATTGACAGCGGGTCCTCTGGGTTTTCCCATCGGCTGTTACCATTGGAACCTGTAAGGAGATTGAGATGCTAAGGAATTGAAATTAGGGACTTTTATCTGCAAGGCGTATGTTTCCTAGCCTGTCAAGGCTGGGCAGTCGGTGGCAACTCGCTGTTCTAGGAGCATGAGAGAAATTAATGCTCCGCTTAAGGGTTTGGGTTGCATTAAATGAAATGCCAGCCTTCTGCCCACTCAGAAGATGTTCTAGACAGCCTGTCTTAGCAAGGGGGTTGCTTGAGAGTCAGAGTCTTGGGTAGGAAGCAGAAAAGAAAGAAACCTTTTCCTGTCTCTCGTTCTCTACCCTTAGATCTGAAATCTCCTCTCTCAGAAATCTCTCTGTTGCCACTTGGGTTGGTTTAACCAACCGAGCCCTGAGTCAGGGAAATCTCTTTTTGAACAAGCCTTCTGCCATCTGGGTTGGCTGGTTGTTGATTTGCAGAAGCAACCGGGACCCGTTTACCTGGGGGATTTGTGGCAGTCCCTCAGGGAGGCCTTGCTCAAACAGACAAGAGCTGCTGTGAAAGCTTCAGTGAGGTTCTCTTTCTGAAAGCAGACTCTTCTGTGGTGACCCCAGGATACTTAGCAATTATTCCGCTCCTCCGTATGGTGTTTCTGTCTCCTCTAAGCGAGTGACAGAGTGACTTTTGTATTAGCGTTTGGGAGGATCCGTGTTGGTTTGTTGATGTGTAAGATTTCTAAACCGTCTGACTCCAAGGGCTCTAGGCACTGGATGACATAAGATAATAATGCAGTGCAATAGTAACAGTACAATTATAGAGTAAAACCACAACACAGTAGTAACTCCATGTATGGGGGAGATCTTAGCCCAGCTCTTTAATCTCTAAAGGGTTTCTGTAAGAGCCAAATCTTAACTGTTCTCAGGAAGGCTGGCGGGGGGCGGGGTTGCTTCTTGCCTGAGGGGGGTAAGCTGTTCCAAAGCAGAGAACTGTCACAAAGCAAGCATGCCCCTTCCCTTTGCACCTCCTGAGACCTTCAGCAGATGCTTTCTATTCATCTGGTTTGGGTGGGCAGCGTTTATACAGGTTAGGCCAACTCTAAGATACCAGGACCCAATTCCTATTTGTTACAGCCCCCCAACCCTCCTCTCCCAGCCTCTATTAGCTCCAGACAGCATCATTAATGGCAAGGACTTCTGGGTGTTGTAGTTGCCTATTCCTGCTTTAGAGGCCAGATGTTCAGTGATGCTGGGCCAGTACCTCTCAAAAGCAGATTTTTAGATGGATGTAAAGAAAAGCTTTTGATGGCCAGATGGCGAGATGGAATTGGTGCTATCAGACGCCTGTTGAAATAAATACAGGACAACACTATTGTTCTTTCCTACAGCAACCCCTTCGCCAAAGGAGATCCTTGTAATGCCTACAATTTGGAAAAGCCTAATGGAACATAAATTCCTATATTCTTCATCTGCAAAACCAAACTGCCACACATGTGCCTCCTTTCCTTCTTCCAGAAATTGCTAAGAACGTTGGCTTCCATCTGATTGGTGATTTCTTGTGGCCACATAAGAACGTTTTTCTCATCTCTAAATTGTCCTTTCCTCAACATAGGTAGGCTGTTAGAAGCCAATTAATCTTCTGATGCTTGGGCAGGTGGAAAGCCTATCAGCCATTCTGTGGTGAGAAGCCAGGAGACACTGCTTCTTCTTTCTTTTCTTTTCAAGTGAGAGGCTAATAGATTAATACCCGTCCCTGAAACAGTGTCAGATCAGAGCAGCTCAACATCTTGACAATCAGCAGGCAATTTATGTTAGAGAAATTGGATGGCGGATGAAGCCAATTGGCTGTACCCTGCTTCTCAAGTAAAGTGTACTCTTATGCTTGGAAGCCTGTAATGATGTGAGACTCTATTTATACTTCCACAATTTTAGTTGAATTCTGTGGATCAGCTGCTGGACTCATGCAGGCTTCCCTGCTGTTCTACATCTGTTGCAGAAAGCAATGCAGATTGCTAAAAGGCATTTCTCCATTTCTCCGTTGCCTTGGGAAGATCACGTTATGCGTATCTTACTTTGGCAATGACATCATCATCCCGCGAACACCAAGTATGCGGCTTCCTTAACTTTGTTTCAGCCGCCTAAGTTATCCAGAAGGAAAGGTATCCCTTTCGTTCATGCATCCAGCCACATTTACATGGATGCATTTGCAGAATTGTACCTGTATAAAATAGCTATCGCTGTATTTTTTTTTTTTTCTCTCAGAGTTTGTTTGCCAGTTCATTTTTCAAGAAAGTGTGCATTACTTGGATTAAAAAAAAAACAAACAGCTTATACAGAGGACATTTGGTTTTCAAGCAACGAGAAAATCACTTTAGGTTGCTGATAAATAGTGAAACAAGAACTAATTAGTCCTTTGCTGTATTTGCATTTTCCATACCACCATATTGTAGGCTGGTTTAAAAGTTGAGTTAAGGGGAAAAGGTCCAAATGAACAGGAAGTAATTACCACCAGTTAGAATATTTTTCCCCAACCTGGAGATTTCCAGGTATGGAATTTTAAATACTATAGTTTCCAGAAACTGTAGCCGCTTCTCCCCATTTTTCTTTTGTTCTTGTTTTGAGGAACCCAGAAGCTTGCTCAGTTCTTGGTGATTTTTTTTTTAAAAGCCGGTCCTCATGAAACCTGGAGGCCTACTATTCTGTTTGATTTATTCAAATATTAACCGATAGAAAATGCAAGTACTGTTTCATGGACTTTTGGTAGAAGAAGGGTATATTCCCATTTGAGGGAGGGGGGAAACTCAGTGGAGAAGGATCCCTGGTAGTAAGGGGGGAAGATGCTGGAATTATTTTTGAAATTCTCAGGAGGCTTATTCCAGCCTGGTGCCTTCTGGATGTATAGAACTACATGCCCCATCGTCGCCAGCCAACTTGGCCAATATCAGTGGGAGCTGTAACCTAACACATTTGGAAAGTGCCAGGCTGGGGTCTCTGTGAACTTGCCTGACACTGCCTTTGGAGTCCTTTCTGTCTGATTAGCCAGACTGAGAGTACCAAGGGCAGCAAGACCTTTTCACTAGTGGCCCCCGTTGGGCAAAACGTCATCCTCAAGGACATCACTAGATTGTTTTGTTGTGAAAAGCCTTTTTGTCCGCACCAACTTGTTTTATGCTTAAATCCTATTGTCTTGGTGTTAGCTTTTAGGTATGCGGGAAGGGGGAAGGGAGTTGTTGCCTTTTTTTATGTTGCTGGACTTCACAATCATCTCCTTTGTTTTTGACATTGTTTTCATTCCTTTCTTGTTTTCATTTTATATTCCATTGTTTATGAGTGAGCAAAGCTTCTGTTGTGCTGGTCCCGTCTTGCTTCTGCAGAACATCTTCTCTTGATCCTGGCCAGGAACTCTGGATCCAGCCTTCCACTGATAAGTAGGAGGGAGGACCAGATTAGCCAGGGTGCCTCTCCCAGGCTCGCCTTCTTTGCCCCTGCTCCAGCTTGGGAACAGGCTTTATGTGTGCAAGGCTGGCCATGGTGAAGAGTGTGAAGGGAGCTTACATAAGTGTGAGATGAAAGGGAAGTGAAGTAGCCTGGCGGAGCTCTTTGCATCTCCCGTTCAAAGCAGCCAAACCACTTGCCGGCTTGTTTCTGTTATCAGCAAGCAGCAGATAGAAGCTCTTGACAGTCTCAAGGGAAGATGTTGCCTGCCGTTTGATAGCACAGCAAGACTGTGGTTTGTAACCTCAGCAGCTGAAGCTGTGGATGCTGTGCTGCTGCTCCGGAACAAAGCCATTTTGATTACCCAATCCCTAACAATTAGCCGTGGCATTTCTGCCCAGTTTCTTTCTGACTTGTTCTTGCTAGGCCTGGAAACTTTCTCACATTGAGACAGGGGGGCTTCTGAAAACTCCAGCCTACTCCCTGCCCTGAACACACTGAAGAGGTTGCTGTTGTCATACTTGGTCAAAACCAAGGCAACCATGTTGTGGCTGAGCACGATACGTCAAGCTGGCGGATGACTTGCAGAACTCAGCCAGCCTTTCATCAGATCTCAGGGCAGATCTGTTGCTTATTTTCTATTTCCTAGGCATTAGAGTTTCTATTTCCTAGGCTTTTCATTCAGGAACTCAAGTTGTACCTAACTGTTCCTCTTATTTTTCTTCAGAACAGCCACCTTGTGAGTTAGGCCCTGTTAAGAGAGAATGACTGGCCCAAAGTTACCCCGTGTGCTTCAGGGGCTGAGGGGGAACTAGAACCTGGGTCTCCCTGCTCTTAGTCCAACACTTCTGTTGGTATATCACATTGACTTTCATTCTTTGCTTTGCATTGCACAAAATATTCAAATTAAACACTCTGGTGCAGTGTTTCTCAACCTAGCTGACTTTAAGATGTGTGGACTTCAACTCCCAGAATTCTGGGAGTTGAAGTCCACACGTCTTAAAGTTGCTAAGGTTGAGAAACACTGCTCCAGCATGTGCAGCTACCTATTTCATCCAGGTAAAGCCTTTTCTAATCCTCAAGAGAACTTGCAAAACATCATGCGTTTCTGTCAAGAGGTGACAGTCACTGGCTTTTTTACCCTTTAAACAGCTGTGTACAGCAGTCATTTTGCAACTGGGAAGTTGAGGCAAAGAGAGTTTCGTGACCGAGAAATGAACCAGGGGATTTCCCACTTCCCTGGTTCCGTATTTGGTCAAGAAAAACCTTCTACACGGTGGGGGGGTGGGTGG